TTGTTGGCATGCTCATAAAACACAAACTCGGATCATATTATATGGAACATACATATAATTTAGGGCAAAGTATAGTAATGGTCACTGGACTTTTCTAAAGTTTTCATTTAGGTCCCCTAACATTTAAAACTTGCAATACAGTCCCCAACATTTAGTCCAATTGTAATATGGTCCCCCAACAGTTACGTCAGGGACCATATTGCATACGGACTAAATGTTGAGGGACCATATTGCAAACAGACTAAATATTGGGGGATTATATTACAAGTTTTAAAAGTCGAGGGACCTAAATGAAAGATTTAGAAAAGTTCAGTGATCATTACTATACTTTACCCTTAAAATTAATATATTATAGGGTAAAATGTACAAATTGTCTTCCAATTATAGAATATTACTTTATTAAGTCTCGTGATTATTATAAGTTACAAAAGGTCCTCTGACTATAGAGAATTGCTTTTCTGAATCATCGACTATTAAAAGTTACCAAATGGTCACCAACTATTCATTCTCATCCATTTTTCGTCAAAAAAATTAATAGTAGTTTGAGCTGGACGTTAATATGTTGATTGATGTACGATAGTCGATTGAGATTATGAGATCATATTTTATCATTTCTTAGTTAACATGTTATCGTTCAGTTTAAACAACCATTAATTTTTTAATAGAAAATGATGAGTTTGGAACATAATAAATAGTTGAATGACAATTTTGTAACTCTTAATAGTCGAATGACTCAACAAAGTAACTTCCTATAGTTAGATGATCATTAATTTTATAACTTTTAATAATCAATGACTCAATAGAACAATATTCTACAATCAAGAGACCATTTGTGCACTTTACCATAAATTTTAATATAAAAATTTGTGCTCTTGGATGTTAAGATAGTGACAAACTTTGTTAGGTTTGGTTTGGTCGAAGGAGAAAGAGGAGGAAGCTGCAACATCCCACACAATCTGTCTGGTATTACGTTCTGCAAATTGTTCTAGTTGTTGGGAATGGTTAAACCAAATTTATTAAGTTTAATCAATTAAATCAATGTGTTTTTTAAAAAATTCGACCCAAACACAAATTTTTAAAATAAATAAATAATCTAAAATCATCAAAATTAATCATAATGGTTAAAATAATCGTTGTTGTTTCTAGAGATCATAGGTTCAAGCACCAGCGACTGCAAAGGTGATTAAGTGTTCATTGTTAAATAGTAAAGAGTACTTAAAACATATACTACTTTGTAATTACCTTTAACTTAATAAAAAAATACATACATACAAATATATTTATATAAACTATATATGATATTATTAATTAAAATTATCTAATTTAATCCAATAATTTAATTAAATAATTATATTTTTATTTTAAATGTAATTATATCAAAATAAATATAACAAAGATAAAAACTTAAAAGTTAACTTAAAATTTTAAATTTAATCATAATTCAGTAAAAAGGAGTTATATTCAAATTTGAATGATTGTGATTTTTTTATTTATAAATCACAAACCAAATTTGAACATAATTAAATAACAATCACAGAACCCAAAATTAAATTAAATAAAACTAATCTGAAATTAAATCGAGTAATTCGATTTTTAATTATTTTCGCAGCCCTAATCCTAACCAACAATTCACGGGCCAATTTTGAGCATATTCAGAATCTGGGTCATATGCCCGAGGCCGAACCCAAAAATGCCTAGCCCACATCAATATGATGATTAGCCCTTTCTCGAAAATCATCGTTGTGTTAGAAACTTTGGACAGTCCCATCTAGGAACCAAGTCAATATTAAAATATGTGGGGATTATTTATTTAACTTTAAAATAAACGACCTCTTAAAAAGTAATTAAATCGTATAAATAAAGAGATTAAGAGTTTGATTTTATTAATTTTAAAATTTAAATGTCTTAAAAAGTAAAAAAATTTAGATATATTTGGAGTCAAGGCTTAATTTCATTAATTTTAAAACTAATAGTATCCCAAAACAATTGTACCAAAAAGTTTTAGGAGGACAAGGACTTAATTATAAAAGTTTCAAAATTTTCAATGACCTAAAATATAATTAGATCATAAAAGTTGTTTTTTTGGGGGATTGCCCCTCCCAATTATAACGTAGATCTGTCCTTGCTCACACCCCCTAATCCTAATTAGGGTTGTAAATGAGACGAGACAGATAGCGAGTTACTTGAAATTGACGCGATGAAAGCTTGGTTATCGCTCGAATCGAACGAACTCGAGCTCGAGCTCGACTCGAATTCTTAACGAGCTGAAGCGAACTACTTGATACTCTATTCAAAAAACTTGCGAGCTTCTCAGAAAAGATAATCTATTACATTTTTAGATTTTTTTAAATTAAACATATACTACTTTATAATAACCCAAAATCATCAAAATTAACCTTAATGGTTAAAAGAATCATTGTTGTTTCTAGAGATTATAAGTTCGAGCACGAGCGACTGCAATGGTGATTAAGCGTTCATTGTCAAATGATAATGAGTACTTAGAACATATATTACTTTGTAATCATCTTTAACTTAACTAGGACTGTAAATGAACTGAACGTTCAACGAACCGTTCATGAACCGTGCGGCGGAAAGTTCGTTTATTTATTAAATGAACGAACATTAACAAGATTTTGCGTTCGTTTAATTAAATGAACGAACACGAACAAAGGGCTCGTTCGTTCATTTACGTTCGTGAACGTTCGATTATATGTTTGTTTATGTTCGTTCATTTATGTTCATTTATATTCGTTTATGTTCGTTCATTTATGTTTATATAACTTATTTATGATTTATGTATGTTTTTGTCGTATTCGAACAAATTAACTCTAAAGTTTCATGTTATATTAATGAATTTTAAGTTGTTATTATTATTGTTTACTTTTTTTACATTCATTTGTTGTGTTCGAATAAATTTGTTTTTTGTGTTTTTGTTATTCGTTTATGTTTGTTTATTGTGTTTGTTTATGTTCATTTATTATGTTCGTTCATTTGTGTTCGTTTATCATTTAAATGAACGAACATGAACGAATATGAACAAGCTATATTCCTTAATGAACGAACATGACAAAAAAATTTTGTTCGTTTATGTTCGTGTTCGTTTATGTTCGTTTATTTATTAAATGAACGAACATAAACATACCTCCGTTCGTGTGCGTTTGGTTCGTTTACAGGCCTAAACTTAACAAAAAAATACATACATATTAATATGTTTATATAAACTATATATGATATTATAAATTAAAATTAACTAATTTAATCCAATAATTTAATTAAATAATTATATTTTGATTTTAAATGTAATTATATCAAAATAAATATATCTAAGATAAAAACTTAAAAGTTAACTTTAAATTTTTAAATTTAATCATAATTAAGTAAAAAAGGAGTTATATTAAAATTTGAATGATTGTGATTTTTTAATTTATAAACCACAAAGCAATTTTGAAAATAATTAAATAATAATCACAGAACCCAAAATTAAATTAAATAAAACTAATCTGAAACTAAATCGAGTAATACGATCTCAAAATTTTTAATTCTTTTCGCAGCCCTAATCCTAACCAACAATTAACGGGCCAATTTAGAGCACTTTCAGAATCTGGGTCATATGATCAAGAGGCCGAACCAAAAAAAGCCTAGCCCACATCGATAAATCATCGTTGTGTTAGAAACTTTGGACAGTCCCATCCAGGAACGAAGTCAATATTAAAATATGTGGGGATTATTTTTTTAACTTTAAAATAAATGGCCTCTTAAAAAATAATTAAATAGTATAAATTAATAGATTAAGTGTTTAATTTTATTAATTTTAAAATTTAAATGTCTTAAAAGGTAATAAAATTTAGATATATTTGGGCTTAATTTCATTAATTTTAAAACTAATAGTATCCCAAAACAATTGTACCAAAAAGTTTTAGGAGGACAAGGACTTAATTATAAAAGTTTCAAAAATTTTCAATGACCTAAATATAATTAGACCATATTGTTTTGTTTTCCTTTGATTTACCGTGACATGGTTGGGGGGGGTAAGGGGGTCTTTTTCTTTGGTTGACCGTGACATGGTTGGAGGGGTAAGGGGGTCTTTTTCTTTGGTTGACCGTGACATGGTTGGGGGGTAAGGGTGTCTTTTTGTTTGATTGACCGTGGCATGGTTGGGGGGGGGGGGTTTAAGGGGGTCTTTGGGAGGGGGAGAGGGGCATATATTCACACACTCCCTTTTTCTGAAGACAAAAAGTTTATCAACGTCTGGGAAGAGCTCTTCAACCTCTGGGAGAGAAGTACAATTTGAGACCAAGTAGGAAAAGAATCATTTTAACAGAGAGCTCCGAGGAAGCTGAGAGATCATGGGAGATAACCAGGGTTCAACAGGTATTTCTTTTACTACAACTTCATTCATTCCCATCTTCAAATCCTTTTTAACTTCTCAAAACTCGATCAAATCGTCATTGTGTTGGAAACTCGAACCATGTGAATCGAAAAACACCAAGTTTTGTTACTTCAACAAGCATGAACCTCGGTGGACGAACCTGAGGTCCGAACTCGAAACTGTTTGTCTGCCACCGGTTGCTGACGATATCAGCTGTTTCTTTTGTTCTTATGTTATCCGCCTCCGACGGTAACATTTCTCAAGATACTCTCTCTCGTCCAGTACCAACTGCAAGTTACTTCAACAACTAAATTCTCACACAGCCTCCATAGTTTATCGCCGGGGTTGCCCAGCAAAGGCCCAAGATGTGAATCGAGTAACACCAAGTTCGGTTACTACAACAACTACAGTCTCACACAGCCTCGATAGTTTATCGCCGAGGCTGCCCAACTTACACATGTCCGGAAGCAGCAAATGCCCAAGATGTGAATCGAGTAACACCAAGTTTTGTTACTGCAACAACTGCAGTCTCTCACAGCCTCTATACTTTATCACACAGCCTCGATACTTTTGCAAGCATGTAGAAGGTACAGAACCAGAGGGGGTGTCTTGAGAAATGTTCCCGTCGAAGATGGATATCGTAGGAACAAAAGAAGCAAAGGAAGCAGTGCCAGGAAAACATCATCGAGTTCTTCGAGTACTATTTCTTCTAAAAGTACGGGAAACACCGATATTTTAGGCCTCCGACCTCACATTCGTCCACCGAGATTCATGGCTCATTTGCATCATCGTACATAATTTGGCGGCAGTGATCATATTGGTTTGAATTACGGAACACTGTTAGATGATTACTTTCAATTGGCTCATTGCAAATCCTTTAAAATATAACATGGTTTTTCCTTTTATTTTGTTCAAAGTTGCATTTATATGCAGATTTTGATGCAGGTAGTTGGCAAGAAAAGGCACCGAGTCCTCGCATACCGATTTCATCAAGTCAAGAGAATGCCATGCGCTTACATTCCTTGGACTACTTCGATGGTGAGGCTCAACCTGATAGGAATCTTCTTTTATATTTTTCACTCGAAACTTACACTTTAAACTGCCTGGTGATATTTATGTTTTTGAACTGCTCTGTTCTTAGGCCTTACCGGCTTTGACGAGGTGGTGTATTCATCAGATACATATCAATTACTTGTTACACCATTCAATTTCATAAGAATATACATAACATTTTCAGCTCTGTTTTAAGAATAATGAATGTACAAAGACCAAGTTCACAGTGTTGGAGTTACATATATTTTGTTTTCGTTCTGTAGCAGAATGGATCCATTGTGGTCCGGACTGGACCATCGCATTCAGTCAAGATGCAGAATCTGCGAGTCTTCCCCAACATGATGTGCCACAACCTATGCAAGGTTATGCCGATGGTTCCATTATGCAGCCAAATGATCTTCCACATTTAGGTATATCATTGAACATCCCTTCCTAAATGAAAGATTGACTCATAAACATGTCTACCATTATGGATAAGAACCTGGATTTCTTATGCATAATTTATGTTTTGGAACTGCTTTGTGTTTTTAGGCACTGACGGCTTTAACCAGATGTTCATGTTGGGTTCACAAACCCAAGGGAACTCTGATGGTTCCATGCAGCCGAATGATCTTCCGAGCCACCCACATTTTGGTAATATGATTAACCACTCTTTAGGTTGCACTAATCATTCTCTAATCAATGAATAAAGTTTTCCTTTTTGAAAGAAAAGCCGCAAACATTCTTCAAATTTGTTTTCTCCCCCACATCTCATTTCATTAAATGGCCCTGTTTTATTCCCTAGCTTGCTCTGACAACAATGATCAATCTACTCCCACTCCAAGGCTTCCCCACCATGCTGAGCAGCACCTTGTGCAAAACCAAGGGTGTTCAGCTACTTACTATTCAAACATCAAATATTTAACGACTTCAAGTGATGGCAGTGATTATGCTTTGAAGTTTTTGTATTAATTTTTCAGGGTCTTCCACCTTGAACCAGCTGCTGGATATACCCACAAGTTCGCAAACTCCACGGCATATTGGTTATCCCCCGCAGCCAAGTGACCTTGTTAGCCCCCACCAAAATTTAGGTATGCCGTTAAATAGTCCTTGTGAAATCAATGTCTTTATCTTTCCTTACAAAAACTTAATACGTATACTCTAACTCTGGGGGCTAACCAACAACATGAATATCAACAAGCATTTGGTTCTGATGCAGCACAAAATCGTCAACCGTTGCAAAGATCTCTAAGCAAAGATCAAAAATACAGGCTTCGTCTCAAAGAAAAAGAGCAAAAGAAGGACGAACAACTTGCTGACTTTAGATTGAAGCTTGCGATGAAGGATATACAGGTTGCTCGCCTTAAATCAGAGCTTGCATTCAAGGATCAACAGCTTGTTCACCTTATACATGGTGAACTTGCTCGCCTTAGATCAGAGAATGAGATGCTCAGAAATAACAAAGATGAAATGATTGCTCGCCTAATATCAGAGATTGAGATGCTCAGAAAAGAAATCACATCATGTATCAAGCATAACAACCTCCTCACTCATTGAACAAATGCTCCAATCTCTATTTCATCTAATCTCCACTACTTTATGCAATCCGGATTTCATTTACTGCATTATCAGTCTCGTCTCGTGGCTTTCGTTTAGAGTATGTTATTGAACTTACAACTTGTACTGTTATTACTACTACTACCGTAGACACACAATTTCGTTCGACTTTATTTATATGATATGATATTATATTATATTATATTATGTAACTTATTTATATTATATAATATATTTATATTTCATATTATGTTATTTATGTGATTTATGTCATATGGTATATACACATTATATTACATATTTATAATATATACATGCATTGTATAGTGTGCATATATTATACCGTTATATATATTATATTTATCTTTATATTATATAGTATTGAACATATATTTATATTATATGTTTTATTTTGGTATCAGGTCCAACAACAATTACAAACAATGTCAGTCCCAAACCCGAAGACCAACACTCAAACCCAATAGCTCACCGACAGTAGCAAACTCGGATCCAAGTACAACCAGAGCCTGACCCGAACCAACCCAATCTTTAACCCTAATTAGTTAGGGTTTCAAAATCCTAACCTTAAGGCTTCCCCCTTAGCGCTGCACGGCCAATATGCAAGGGTAGACCGTCAGGCAGGTGGAGGACTCTTGGAGAGTCCTCATGCCAAAAACAACAAGTCCACCACTCCTAGATAACCGACACAATGAAGTCAAGCCAAAACAGAAAAACACGTTAGCATTTTTAGTCCAACTAGGAGTCTAAATCGGACCGAAAATAATGGATTCCTAAACCTATAAATCCATGCAAAGTTAAATGAAAAAACACAAGAGAAAAGCAAGGGAAATTAGATCCAAGCAACCAATATTTGTAAAGCTCGAAAAGTAATAAAAAGAAAAAGTATTTTTTTACCTTATTCGGGTCTTGATGTGTTGTTAGCCTCGATTTTTCTAGGGGTTTTTGCTTCGTCTTTTTTTGGTTTTTTTTCTTCTCTTTTCTTTTGGTTCGAAAAACCCTTATGAAAGAGGGAAGCCGATGAAAAGGGGGAAGACATTCGAAAGTTCTCTTTCAGATCTAGCCCTCCCAAGGCTATTTTGCAAAAACAAAAGTTATTTTTGAAGAGAGGAAATCAAAAGCTTTCGAAAAATGAAAAAAATCGGAGACTGGGTTTGGGGTTGAGTGTTATTCGTTTCACGAAGAACACGGGAGAAAAAAATAGAAAGGGTTTTGATCTAGTTTTTGAAGGGAATGAAAAATGAAGTATGTTTCTGATTTTTTTGGGTTTTATACCCAGACCCGATGACCCGATCGGATCCCCTAGGGGATCCGCATGCGTGGATTGGGACTAATTGCAGCTCTAGTCCCTACATTTTTTTAAAAATCCTTTTTCGAGCTTTTAATTTAATTTTAGTTCTGTTTTTTCTTTTAAATCTACCATTCATTTTATTTCGTTTTTTTTTAATTTGTTCCTTTTTATTTAATTCATGTTACATTATGTTTTAAATTTAATTTATTTTTTTCTTTTTCTTTCGAATTCGCCATTCATTTTATTTCTTTTTTAATATGGTCCTTTTTATTTAATTCATGTTTTTTTTATCTTTATTCTTTTACATATTTTATTTTGTATTATTTCTTTCACTTTCATAGTAATTTCCCTGATTTTTTAATTTTATTTTTGTTCATTTCCAGGTATGTATGTGTGTGTTTTTCCCTTTGTTTCATTTAAGTATAAGAATTTAATTTTACTAGCTTTCCTTCTGATTCATTCCATATTTTATTTTATTTTTATTTTTTTGCAATCTAAATCTTTTTGACTTTTAAGGGTATTCTTCTAAATCAATCGGAGGTAAGTAATTAGATCGAACTTTTATTTCTGTTTAACTTTCAATTTTCTTAATTAAGACAACTGAAAATTAAATTAGTACCGAAAGGGCAGTTCAAGGGTGTTAATCTTTCATTGACTGTAACGGACTCTCGAATCCGATATATTTATGGTAAAACGCACATCAGGTAAAATGGTGTCCGATCAACCTAATATTTTTTTATATGATCGGTGGCGGCTCTAACGTTTTTATTTAAGTCGAAGCTCAAATCCGAGTCCACCCGAAAGACGGTTGCGACAATTACCCCATACTTTGTTTACAAATTTTATTACCACATTCGTATAGTAATACTATGATATTATTGACATAAAGGTAATGTTATGGAATTAAACGTCAGAATGGGATTACAAAAGATTATAACTGCCTGTTGTTGGTTTTTATTATTGCTAAGGTAAATTGTCTGTTGGGTAAAATGGTCATTGATGTTTTAAAACTAAGATTTAGTTATTAAAATTATGATTTATAACAATTAGTTATTCTCCATTATCAGTTGTGGCTGACACCGTTAATGGAGTGCTTCCATGAATCTGTCACGAAGAAAAGGCCCATTTTGGCTTGAATCTTGCTCAACGAGCACCAAAAGTTTTGGGGACAGCTCGTGGATCATTTGAAGAACTGAGTTTAAAGCTCCCCTGCTTTCTTTAACGACACGATGAAGTTGAAGAATGCTGTTAACGACAAGAAGTCAAGAATTGCTTGAACGAAACACTGATTGCATTTATTTCTTAGTCTCTCCCATCATTTACAATAAGGTATTTATTTTCTCTTTTGGGCTATCCGGAAGTAAGTTTTTCATTTTTCGCACTTTCCTATTTCAGCTCGCATTATGTGTTTTTTGTTGAAATTTTTATGTTTCTGGAACTACATATCAATAATTTGGATATTCAGTGTTAGTTTTGAACCAAAACCATCTAATTTTCTTTCTTTCTTCTTAATCAAAACTTTTAGTACCCCTTATAAAAGATATTCAGTCCATCAGAATAGAAGTGAAATAGGGTCCTAGGCTAAATTTTTTGATCTTCTTGTTTGGGTTTTCTTTAAATCAGGGAATTAGTTGTGAGTATCGACATAGTGAAATCGCCAAGCTCAATCCGAGAGACTGCTGGTACTAGTTTACTGGGAATTGTATTGATCCAACCTGTTGTTTTTGGCGTCCTGTGAGCTCGTATTCTTTTTAATAAGTTCATGTTGATTATGGGACTGATATATCGTGAACGAATTAAATTTTTTTACATGTTTTGGAAATTTTACAATTGAATTGTATTGAATTATAGCTTTAGAAGACAATTCTGCATACACACAACTCGAAAGATATCATGAGAGTGTAATATATTTAGAGCAACTACTTGACCCTGTCATGATGCCTTTCGAGTTGCGAAAGAGATTGAGAGGTGAATGCACTGTTTGAGATATCATTATATTTGATCATCTGTTGGAAAATCTTGAAGCACAAGGATTAAACGAATAAATATTATATGTCATTTATACAAATAATTTCAGCTTTGTTGGTGACTTTCAACAATAATATTTACTTCATCTTAGTAGTATTTGTCAACTCTATATTTCTAACCCCATTTTTTCTCACAAGCATTTCATCGAACATCTATGTTTCACCTGAGATGACTTGTATCTAACATTACACCTTAAATCGTTGATGGTTCCGATAGTCCCTTGGTCGGGTCTTCTCTCAATAGACCCTTATTCAAGTCAACACCTCCACATAATTCAAAGTTAGATTAGAATTTCCCATGCATCCCCGATTGAAAAGTTATGCTGGAAATGAGAAGAGAGAAGCGGAAAAAAAATTCGAGATCGAAAAGAAATTTGGGGTTTAGAATGAAATTTAGGATTGTGTTGCAAGTTTTAAAAGTTGGGGGACCTAAATGCAAGTGCTTGAAAAGTTCAGTGATCATATTGCAAACGTACTAACAATAGTGTAACGGCGTCAAACGGTCAGGGATCATATTGCAAACAGACTAAATGTTGGGGGACCACATTGCAAACGAATTAAATGTTAGGGGACTATATTGCAAGTTTTAAAAGTTGAGGGACTTAAAAAAGTTTTAGAAAAGTTCAGTGACCATTACTATACTGTACTCTTAAAATTAATATATTTTAGGGTCAAATGTACAAATTGTCTCCCAATTATAGGATACTACTTTTTTAAGTCTCATGATTATTATAAGTTACAAAAGATCCTCTGACTATAGATAATTGTTTTGTTGAATCATCGACTATTAAAAGTTACCAAATGGTCATTCAACTATTCATTCTCATCCTTTTTCGTCAAAAAAAATAACGGCAGTTTGAGTTGGACGTTAAATATGTTGATTGAGGTATAATAGTCGTTTGAGATTATGAGATCATATTTTATCATATCTTAGTCAACATGTTAACGTTCAACTTAAACAACAATTAATTTTTTAACAGAAAATGTTGAGTTTGAAACATAATGAATAGTTGAATGACGATTTTATAAATTTTAACAGTCGATGGACTCAACAAAGTAATTCCTTATAATTGAATGACCGTTTTATAACTTTTAATAATCAATGACTCAATAAAATAATATCATATAGTCAATAGACCATTTGTGCACTTTATCATAAATTTTAATATAAAAATTTGTGCTTTT